ATACTGGACATGAATGTTTCTGTGGATGGGGCCTATAACCTCATATCCAGGAGTCACTACTCAAGTAAGCCTAGTGCCCAGATATTATTCCATATGAAGGTTGTCATACCCACGGACCCAATGGGTTAATGGGTATGGAAAACAATTTTTCACCATTTTATGAATTATCAATTAAGGATACAACTTTATATATAGAGTATACATCTACTCTGCACAGTTTATTATTAATGACATCCCTCTGCTTAATGTCCTTTCAAGAATGCTAATGGCATCCAGAATATCATGTATTATCACGTCTTTTAAAAATTGGAGCACATCTCTAAGCATAATTTTCTTTTGAAAGCACAGACATTACAGTATCTCATATAGCTATAAAACATGTTGATTGCCTAACATTCTGCTTCAGAGAACATATTGTATATGTTAAGCATGGGATGACTGTATACACTTAATATGGTATATAAATTTGAACATATAATAAAAACACAATATATGTTATACGTCTCTTCAGTCTACACTACACTGCATCACCAGCCTTCAAAAATGACCACAGGAGTCTCATGGACTTACCTGTGTGCATCTCTCTTTTCTTTCAAGCCAACAAACATACTCACCTCGGGAGTCTCTGCAGGAGGCTGTTCAGGCCGTCGTCCTTATCATCATTAAACTCAAGCGGAAATGCATCCACCATGTACACAGCCTCCTTTAGGGTACGTATGCCTAGAGTCTCCAGCCTGGGACATGCAAGAGAATGTGATGCAGTGGGAAAAAAACAATAATTTCATATTTCGTAGTCTTGTGAAATAGGACATGGAATAAGGTACGATGAAAACTGACATCATAAGGCAAAAATTTTCATTTAGGTACTATATTTAGAGCAAAATCATTTCAATAGTGGATTCAACAATTGGCAATAATTTCTAATCAATAGTTTGAAATCTTAAGCGGCCAGAGTTTAGCAATTTACCTGGATGTGTTTAAAAAGTATGCCTGAAATAATATACTGAAAAAAAAAGAAGAAAATTCAACAGAAGTCAATTTTTCATTTACATGTGACTGCTTTTGCTTTATTTCTTTATTATAGGCAATAAAGTTATAAACACTTAAGGCAACTAACTAAAGTGATAGTTTTTATGCTTGCTTTTATATCATACTATTTTCTGCAGAATCTTGATCTTTTTTACAATACACATTATCTCTTTCAATTAAGTTCTAGCTTTTTTTTGTGTCATATCATTTCTTATATCTTTTATATGGAAAATAGTTACTGAAAGCTTCCGTTCTGTAATCACCCATCTACTATGCTTTCACAGACAAAAGCAGACATAAATAGGTATGGCTGTCTCCATTTCAATCAAGATACCCACTGATGTCAATTTCCACAGTTCCCATGCAAGGTTAATAACATAAACATGTGTAAAGACTTGGTGTACTTAGCAATTATCAGAAATCAATAAAACCCTAAAATCTGAAGGAACAAACCATGCAGTCTTGTAATCACAGGAAAAGAAACCTTTTGTTCTAAGTAAATCAATTTGTTCTATGGAGTCAAGCATTCACCTGAAAAGTGTGTGAAGTAAATTTCAAAAGTTAGATATAAGGACAGATACCATTTCTAAAGAGATATGACACAAAACATACAAAATTATATCGGCTAAGAGGAAAGACTTTACAACATGAACTCACAACAGTACAATGATAGATCTTTTAAACATTTTTAATATATATACCAACAAGGGAATTTATAAAAACACAAACATTTTTTTATATATACTTAGGTCTCAGATTTTAGTTCAGCAACTGATATATCACCTTATGAGTAGAAGGGTAGGAGGAGCAAGAAGGAAAACAAAAAAGGTGAAAAAGAGAAGGGAGAGAAAGGGGAAGGGATAGAGGAGGGTAGGGTAGGGGATAGAGGGAGGGAGGAGCGGGGAGGAGGAGGGGAAGGGGGAATGAGAAGGAGAGGGAAGGAGAAGAAGGAGGGGGAGTAGGATGGAGGAGAGAGAGAGAGAGAGAGAAACAGAGAAAGAGACTGGGATAGAGACAGAGATAGAGAGAGACAGAGAGAGAGAGAATCAGAATTAAGCAAAAACACAAAAAAAAAACTGTATTATGTTGAGATGTTAGGAGACTACAAGGACTCATTAATAAAAGGGGCTCATACAAATTTTCAGTTAATGAGTTGCAAATCAAACAAAATGACTATGACTGACAAGTTCCATAAAACTGGAACTATTCAAATCAATTTAATTTGATTTAGAGAGGATTTAATGTAACTTATGCCAACACAAAATATATGTGATGATTTAAACTATCATAATAATAAAGCTAATGTCATGAAACTTCTGGATACAATCTCCAGATACTTTGAGCTGCAGTCTCAGCAAAGAGAAAGCTGAAAGAGACATTCTACATAATATGTGCTTTCCTAAATATGAATCCCATGAACACAGAATAATTGTGTCGCTTAAAAGATTATTGTGTACAATTTATACATACA